TACGCATACAATTCATTTATTTTGATGAGAGGTTCTACCTTGTTTTCATGTCCATCAAAAAGAAAAAAATACAATTTAGTGTTAAATCGGATGTAGAGCTAAAATGGTTTTGGAGGTCTTTTGTAAAACAATTCCTTCTAGGATTAATAATAATGATGATCAGTTCATTTATTTAAAGTGTTACAAATTATCAATTCATTCATTTCTTGTCAAATAATTGGGTTCAAATGTTTTTCTTTTTCCTATCTCCATGCAGATTATTTACCTCAGCCATCAAAAAAATAGAAACATATATGTGGGTGTTGTGGTTGGAATCGTGGCTACAGTAGCTTTTGTTATTATCATCTTACTTCTAGGTATTCTTTGGTGGAGATGCTGCCTACTACCCAAAAATACAATGGAATGTGGTATTTGCAAACCTTAAAATTGTAGTACATTCAATTCTTTTACTATCTCCATTTTCATATTTCTAATTTAACAGTTAATTAACAGACATGAATGTCGGTTTAATTGAATTGCCATCAATTGCTTCTTCTACTTCTACTGTTGATCGCTAGTTTCTCAATTTGAATTCTGATTATTGGGCAAACAAAGAATAGAGAAATGGGTACAAATTCTCTTGGTTGGTTTTCATTTTAATATTATCCTTGCAATATAACAGTCTACGTTTTCCTACTTTCTTTTTTCTTTTTGGAATCGATTTACAACAGATGAATGCTTAGTACATCTAGAAATTTTTTTTCAAATATTTGTGTTGCAAAATGCACATATAGTATATACTTGTATTTCTAAAACCATGTGTTTCAACTATATTGGCAAATCCTATGTTTTATCCAGTTTTGGTCTTTTAGATGTTTTTTGGTCTCTTAGTTTCTCAAACTAGGATTGAAGATTATTGTAAGGTGTCTTGCATTTTTATTGTATTATAATTAGTCTTTTGTAGAGGAGGCATGGCTTACCAAACAGAGCTTATCATAACTGCATTCTACCCCACTATCACTATGCATATGTGTCAGTTAATAGGATAAGTTAGATAAGGTGATTATATTTAGAAGGGGAGGTTCAGTTCTGTCACACCCTCAATTTCATTACTCGTATAATTTACCAAATTTCCTTATAAAAATCCATTTCCAATATTATTTATAGAACACAAACTGAATAGAATAAATGAGGTTCATTCTCGCATAAATACAATGATACTAAATATGTTCACAACAATATTCATAGTACATGCCAAAAAGGCTTACATGAAAGATTTCAAAATAAATAATTGCATAGAAAGAACCACCTTAATACAACTATCCTTAATCTTTCATTCAAAATTTACATAAGACAAACTCATAATATAATAAATAGCTTCTTGATCTTCCAACTATTGTACCCGACTCTATCCTTGAAAATAATTAAGCAATATGGGATGAACACGAGATCAGTAGGGATCTACAGTGATTCTCAATAATAATAATCAATAGATAAATGTAATCATGAATGCTATCAAATGATACATATACAAAAATGTGTCCTCTTATATGCAAAATAGATTTCCTAAATAGATACTCTTTTCACAAAATCCCACTTGACATTTCATAGAGACCTCCTTTGTTAACTCTTTATCTCTTCAAAATTCATTAGAATAATTTCCTTAAGCCTCATTTCCTTAGATATAGGTTGTAAGCCAATTAATCATTTACTCCTTCTAATTCATATTTTACACTCATTAATAATGCCACAACTCAACACCTTACCAATACACACAAAACACCAAAAGCATACACAACACAACAAATTTCGCAATCACATAAGGGAATTGTTACACACTTCAAATCTACATCTAACAATTATCACAATCACATAAGGGAATTGTTACAAGAATTCTCAACAATATTCACATGCCAACAATAGGCTTCACCAAACCCTACCAACAAACCACATACTTTTCTGGGCTTTACTCCGGAAGAAAAGCAGAACCTCTATCAAGTACCACGCTTTACCTGTCACAAGTCGGAAGGAAATGGACCCTTATTCCAAAATCACAACCCATCAATTCGTCATGTCACTCATTATTACAACTCATAGATTAAATCAACAACATAATTGCATGACAAGGGTGAGAGTTCATCTTTAGAAATAATTACAATTTATTTGCCACGACATTCTTTACTTCTCAACACTAACACCAACTCTTTATATTCAATTACACTACACAATTGGTATCATACACTCCCCAAAGTTTATTAATTTTAATTTTCATTATCAATTCCTCCAACACAAGCCTCATACACCATAATCATTCTCACAACAATTAATTATCATCATTTATACTCATCTTAGCCAATCATAAACTTAATTTCAAGAATTTAAGGCCAATTAAAATAATTCATCATTTTAAAAATAAAATCCATAACTACAGCTTGACCAAAATTAGGGCTTTTTCCTTTAAGGCGCAAAATCATATCTCAATTTGTCCAAAACTTCATTAAGTCCCGTAAATCATAAAGTTAACTCTATCTCTATGCTTTTAAAAAAATCCCTCAACATGAGGTTTTTATGCAATACCAACATAACACTCATCTATCTATAAGAACATAGTGAAGAGAAGAAAAGAAATCCCTACCTTTATCAAGAAGAGGAAGAACCCCAAAATTCCAATGTCGATGAAAACACGATCCGCTCAAATTGATAGGAAGCCCTCATTGTGCTCTTCGTTTTTATATAAGAAACATGGGTGAGAATCTTACTACAAGGAGATGTAATCTAGGGTTTAAGGAGCTTGGAGCTCAACAATGGCTGAAAAAGAGGGAGATGAGGGAGAAGAATCTGGAAAGCATGAAGAAAAGTGGCCCAAAATGACTTTTCAAAGTGCTGATCCTGAACAGATCGTTTGAGCGAACATTTCATCGCTCAAATTTCCTTTAAGGCGCAAAATCATATCTCAATTTGTCCAAAACTTCATTAAGTCCCGTAAATCATAAAGTTAACTCTATCTCTATGCTTTTAAAAAAATCCCTCAACATGAGGTTTTTATGCAATACCAACATAACACTCATCTATCTATAAGAACATAGTGAAGAGAAGAAAAGAAATCCCTACCTTTATCAAGAAGAGGAAGAACCCCAAAATTCCAATGTCGATGAAAACACGATCCGCTCAAATTGATAGGAAGCCCTCATTGTGCTCTTCGTTTTTATATAAGAAACATGGGTGAGAATCTTACTGCAAGGAGATGAAATCTAGGGTTTAAGGAGCTTGGAGCTCAATAATGGCTGAAAAAGAGGGAGAGGAGGGAGAAGAATTTGGAAAGAATGAAGAAAAGTGGCCCAAAATGACTTTTCAAAGTACTGATCCTGAACAAATCATTTGAGCGAACATTTCATCGCTCGAATAGTGAATACAATCTCTCACAAGTTTTGCAAGTCTACAGTGAAAATACTAGGAGCCTCACATCTCCGCTCGAGCGACTACTTGACCTCTCAAGCAGTCACCGTAGACACAGCTAGTCACCCAGTACAGTTCCTAAGGTACTCCCAGCACCTCAACCTTATTTCCATATGTAACCATTTAAGTAAATACTTCCATTTAGCCTCTTACATTTATATTTCATTTACCTAAGTTTACAAGGTAAATAAGGAAATACCTCCCATTTGAATTCAAGGAAAAATAAATTTAAAAAAAAATCAAAATCCAATTAAATCAAAAAGTGACTCCCTCAATTTTAGTACAAAATAATTTTCCGACTAAAATTTATAAGTTTGACATTGAAATAAAGGGATTAATACTTCATAGAAAAATCTCATAAAATCAAATTAGACTATGTAATGTATAAGGAACAATTACCACCAAATATTATTTTCAAAATCATAAGTTTTGAAAATTCCAATTTTTACATAAAATTTTCAGACTAAGTTCAATTTTTGACAGAAAACTTGGATCTCGGCCCAAACCGTTACAAGTTCTATTATTCAATGGTGATATCATGTATCAACGATGACATGGTACCCACTATTACATTGAAATTTCTCACACTGAAAAAAATGACCAAAAAATTGTTTAGAATTCCAAATCAAAGTGTAGATTTTAGGGCAAAGTATGGCGATAGTCCATGTACTTTATGGGGTCATTTTAGTCCATGTACTTTCAATTGTCTCAATTTTGGTCATAAATTTATAATTTTGTCTCAATTTGGTTCAATTAATTACAACTCTTAGCATCTTTTTTTATATAGAAAATACGCACATAAGTATCACGTGCGGTATTTTTAAGAGCAAAAATATAAACTTACTCAACTCAGTTAGTTAACCTTAACCAATTTAGTAATAATTTTCCTAAAAAAATACTAACGATAATATTAATTGGACCAATTTGAAACAAAAATATAAAATTAATGGTCAAAATTGAACTAGTTGAGAGTGTAGGAATCAAAATGACATAAAGGGTACAATAGAGGGACCTCCGGTGTAATTTGTTCTAAATTTTATTCACAAAATTTACCAAAAAAATTCCAAAGTTTCATCCCTATAATAAAATAAACCCCGGGCTTTTAATTTTGTCAATTTAAGTCATAGTCTTTTAATTTATTTTCAATCTAAACTATCTTCTTATATTCATTAAACAAAACTGACAAAAAATTATATTTGAGTCATTAAACTAAACAAAAAATAATGTTTTAGACATGTTATGTATATTTGTCATTGAATTTAATGATTAAAATATCATTTTTTTTTGGGGTCAATTTTACTTAATAAAAATAGAGAGATAGTTTGAATTGAAAACAAATCAAAATATTAAGGTTTAAATTGACAAAATTAAAATTCAAAATTTATGTTGCCATAGGAGTTAAATCCTAAATTTAAAAAGAAAAATAAATTTTCTTTTTAATTTTTTTTTTTTTTTGGCACGAGACGACTTATGAATGATTCTTGGTCTTACTCTCTTAGATTGAAATTGTAGTGTATTTATGAAATTTCTATCCTCCAATTCTATATATGTGTCATCTTCATGCTCTCTTCTCTCTCTCTCTCTCTCTCTCTCTCTCTCTCTCTCTCTCTCTCATGATAAAACAATAGGAACCTTCTTAATCAGCTATTTGTAATGCAGCAATAGAATGGATGTTCAAATCCATAAGAAACTCTCTTTCCTCTCATCATCAACATCATCTCTCAACATGTTTTTCCCACATATCTTCACTTCACTTATTCTCTTCATTTACTTAGCAACTTTTGCCTCAGCAGCCACTCTTCTCCCCCTTGATGAAGGTATGATATATATATATATATATATATATATATATGTTTATGTGTATCAAAAATATGCTAGATGCACATAATTAAAACACAGAAAGTATACCCAAAATAATAATAATAATAATAGAAGAAAATTTTGTGTGATAAAAATTTATTTTTAGTGTGTTTCATACTCTACACTATTTTTTTATTTATATTTTTCTGTGTTTAATTGTGTGAATTTAACATTTCACTGTCTCTCTCTCTATATATATATGCATATAGATGAATAATAAAAAAAAGAAGAAATGCTTTGTGTGATGAAAAAACTATACAAGTACACAGATTGTGTAGTCTAGATTTAAATTTAATTCACTCATTTTAATTTCTAAATTATTTTTTCTTCAATGTATAAGCATTGAGAAAAGAAGAAATAAAAATAATAAAAAAATTTGTATATGCTTTTTGATTTGTTTTATTGATTTGCTTTATTTATTATTATTATTTACTACAGTGGAAGCTTTGAAGCAAATTGGGAAGACATTGGGAAAGTATGATTGGAACTTCAGTGGAGAAGCAGATCCATGCAGTTGGGCTGAAGGGACTGATAATAATGTCACCTGTAATTGCACCTCCTCCACCCTCTGCCATATTACCATGATGTACGTCTTTCTCTCCCCTCTCACCCTTTTCATAACTTTTTAAATGTTATTTATTTTATTTATACCTTTAGGAGAATTCTAAACCAGCTATAAACTTGCTAACTTGAGTGAGTACCACCAGAAAGAATCAGAGGGTTCCATCTAATTCTATAATTATATTTTATAATTATAGAATTGTTTATTTTAGAAAATAATGTGTTATGAGCTATGAAATGAGACTTGTGGCGGATTCTATAAACCCCTTAAATTCAAATTTAAATTTAAAAATAAAAAAATAAAAAATCAACCAAATAAAATTATGTAAGAACACGTTCTTTGACTTGAATGGTCAATAAAAGTAGGCATCAATCCCATTCTTGATATTAAAAGCCCACTCTCTTTTCACAATCAAGTTTTACTGGAAAATATCCATCTAGAAAAACAAAAACAAAAACAAAAATAAAAAAGCCTTAATGGTAATGGGCTATGTTTGGAGTGAATTTGTAGTAACTCGCCCTGTATCAGTCAAATGATTCACTTGACCATTTATGATATCAGTAAAAAAAATTATACAGTAGTTCTACATCATTTATTATGTCCTTTCATATTTCTTAATTACCTAATACAAATAATCAATCAATACTCCATCTTCTCCACCAATCATACTATCATAAAGTACCATGTGACCGTACTCCTACACTACTGAATAATCATCCGATACCAAGGGCTAGGTCAAAGATAAACAAAATATCATTGGATAAATTAATTTAAGAAAACATGTTTTATTAAACTATAAAAATCATCCCAACATATTTAGAATTCGCATTATAATATATAAGAGTTTTAAAAATCAAATGTTTTGGTCTCTAAAAGTGAAAATTTTGTTACAAGAGACTAATTTCCATCGTCATGAGAATAGTATCTAAAAGGTCGTTCCGAAAGTAAAAAATAAGGTTTTTAGTGACAAAATTTTGAAAATATCACTAATAAATAGACTTTTAGGAATAAGACAATTTAGTCTCAAAATGGTTTATTTTTTGGAAAAAAAAATTTGCTTCCAAAAAGATAATAATTCATCACTAATGTCTAATTTTTGTTGCTAAAAATATAATAGCGACGCTTTTCTCAACAAAATTATTCGGTCCCTAAAAATAATTTTATCCCTAAATTTTGATTTCTAAAATCTTAATTTTTTTTATAGTGTCAGTAGGTGCAAATGTTATTATTTAAGATAAAAATAATTTGTTTTTTTTATATTTCATTTTAAGACAAGATAATTTGAGTAAGTACAATACTTTGTATTTATCATGGATTTATTTTTTTTTTCAAATTTGCAGAGTCCCTAAAAATAATTTTATCCATAAATTTTGATTTCTAAAATCTTAATTTTTTTATAGTGTCAGTAGGTGCAAATGTTATTATTTAAGATAAAAATAATTTGTTTTTTTTATATTTCATTTTAAGACAAGATAATTTGAGTAAGTACAATACTTTGTATTTATTATCATGGATTTTTTTTTTTTTTCAAATTTGCAGAGAAATGATCATGGATAAAAAAAAAAAATGAAGTGAAAGAAGCCTTTTTTTTTTGGTTGTGTTAATGGAAAAATGAATTAGATAATTGTCAAAAAATATATATATCCATTTAGTTTAGTTAATTTTATTTTGCTTTCCCTAGATTCATTATCCAAAAATAGCATAAATATTATACATGAAACTTATTGCGAAGTTTAAATTTTATACAATTATCCTAAATATACGTGTATAAAATATATAACTTAAAATAGTTATTATTTTCAGTTATTTTTCAAATAAAGTTTTTATTTATACACAATTGATTGAAAATACAAAATTTATATTTTTTTAGGTAAATTATAAGATACAAAATCTAATTATTATCTAAGTAAATTATAAGAATACGTAATTCTTTAATGCTAACTGTAAATCAATCCATTCATCTTGTCCAAGCTGTTCAATTAACAAATGTCAAGGCCAAATTAGAGTTCTCAACTACTAAATATCTCCTTAGGTTTGAGAAATGTTTATAGATAGCATTAGATAGGCCAACCAACTTTGTTCCTTACCAACAAAGTCTTGGTATGGTGTTGTCATTTGATTTTGTGAGCGCCTTAGTGCCAACTGAGTTGGGATTGGACCGCCAACCTCATTGGGATGCTCTCGCCAGCTATGATGCATCTCCCCCCATTGCTCTTTATTGATTTAATCTATACCTTTGTTTTCCTCATCAATAAATTTCTTTTAGTTGATCAAAAAAAAAAAAAAAAAAAGACAGCATTAGATAGGCTTGAGCCAAGAGAAGATGGCCCAAATTTGTATTATTTAGTTTGTGCCAAACTAAAGTTATGTCTGGCGTTTGATTTATATTTTTAATTATTGACCTAATTTCGACCTTGCCTCTACATGTAGTCCAACTATTTCGTACTATTTTGTAAATTACATAAACATTATTTTAGATTAACCATTCAATTCAATGATATTATTTATAAAGGGTTAGTTTAGTTAATAGGGGATAGATATTGGAGAAGTAGGGAAACTAACAAAGTACATTACAGGTCGGCCGCATGGTTGGAAGGCTTAAGGGTGGTTGGGGGAGGGAATTAAAATTGACAATTAGAGGTGGTTAGCGGGGTAGAGCGAAAAGATTTTGCAATGGTGCATGATATGGGGCATGAAGGACTTGATTTGGGATAGCTCGGAGAAGAGTGTCAGTGATGCTTCCTCTAAATTTTTTCCATTTTGTTCTTCAATTTGTTTTTTATTTTGACAAATTTTGATTGGGTTTCAATATAAAATTAAAAATTGGTAGTTTTAGGTTCTTATATCATTTGAGAAACTCTAACCTCTAATAATTGTAAGTGTAATTTTTGTAATTCACACAAATTTTTTTCTCCTAATGTCTACTAATCACATGATGTCACACGTATTTGTTAGTTAATGTTGAAAATAAAACATTAAGGACAACATAATGAAAACATCACTTCAGCATATTTTAAATGAAGATAGCTTATTTTTCATAATTTTAATTTTATCGTCTAAATTTTAAAAGTGTTACTATTTAAGTTTAAATTTATTTATTTGTGGCCATAAATACCAATTTTATCACTATTCGTAACCCCCCAAAACCCTAACCTTACCCCATGCTTACATTGTCACCACCCACTTCTGCCAACTTTAGCCCCACTTTTGTGGATCTCTATCTCTGACTACCCTTACCATCCCTCCCCAACCTTGAGCTCCCACTCCCTCCTCTCATTCTCTCTATGGTTGAGAAGGGAAAGGGATCGTCAAATATAGAGAATAGCGGGGAGATGTGGTGGTGGCCAGGAAGTGGCTACCAAATATGGGAGTGGCAAGGGTGGGGTCTAAAGTAGGGGCATTAGGATGGTCATTTTAGTGGTTGTTTGGGATGACCTAAATAAGTGCACTTTTTGTTTTTTTACAAAAAGATGTGCAGAAAAGTAGAGAGGTGATGTGATGGAAAAAAGATAAAAACATAAAAAGATGGATTATTTAGGACTTCCCAAACTTGGCCTTAGTCTGATCCTTGGGGGCTTGCCCATGTCTGCCCGAATGGGATGGATTTATCCGACCCGACACTTATGTGGGGCAGAGGTGGATAATATTTTGGTCACCCGCAATGGGGGTGGGGTGGGGACTGGTATCACCTCCTTGATCCAAACCTGACCCGATATAATTAATGGTATATATAATATAATTTGATATAAGAAGAAAAATACTAAAAATTTGTGCTTCTGTTTAAATATAAATAAATAATAATCCTAAATGTCACGCCCCTAAAATAATACAATAAAGATAACTCATATGCGGAATAAATATGAGAAACAACATGCCTTCATATATCAGAGTTCATTGTTTAACAACCAGTTAAATGCCATGTAGGCTTATATGTTTCCAAGTCATTGCTTGATTACACAAATCGAGTCTCCCTCATTACATCTTGAGCCATTGGCTTTACAAATAACAAACATACACACATAAGGAATAATTAAGAAGCTCTTGCTTCCCAAAACTCCATCCATGCTATTTCCTTGGAGGAAGCATCTCACCTGTACCTGAAAATGATATTCCTATATAGGGTGAGCCAACAGCTCAGTGAAAATAATCTAACACAATTTATGAGGTTTAGCAAAGCTATAAATACTACGTAAATAAACAATACCGATCCTGAAACATCCACAAGACCTGCATATCCATATGCCACTAAGACCAACCTTATTCCATTTTCCTTTAATTTCATTTCCAGTTCATATATGCTACTCAATTCATGAGTTAAATTCGTTATCTTTCAATAATCAAAATGAGACTTCAACTCAATGATTTTCCAATTATGCAAAACTCACATAAATACTTCAAACCTGCCATTTTATGGATATTTCGTCCGAAGGAATCGGCATCCATTTATGTATAAAATTTCAGATCTTTCACCCAGGACACTCCGGCCAACTTGCTTTAAACGGAGTCCATCCCCTTTTTCTTCCCAAACAAATATACATATGCAATGTATTTATAAACACAATATGGAGTACATCCCCTTTCTCCTCCCAATAAACATACATATATAATGTATCTATAACATGGTCATATTCAATGACACCAACAATGGATTAGCATTAAATCGCCTAATCTTCATGAAATTTCTAAAACAATTATAGCTATCCTCCACCGATAGTCCAATGCAATTATTTGTAAAGAGATGTTCAATATCAAAATAAATAGTTTATTCAAAACTTCCATAAGTGAGATAATACATATCCCATATCACCATTTATAATCACAACCTTCCAATTTTATGTTTTCAATGTTAATGCCAATTATTTATGCAAAATAAGAATTTAATCAAAATTATGGCAGAATCCCCCTTTCACCAAATATCAACCCAAACACCAAAATAAACCATTTTGACACAACATAATCTTATATTCAAGCCTCATACTCGTTTACTTCATATTCATCAAAACCCATTTTTTCATTTCACACCCAAATCCTAAATTTGTCCAAACCATAATCAAATCTCATCATCTATACACAATAACAAATAACTAAGGTAAAAACCATATTAGAGTGTAGAAAATCCCTACCTCAAGCTTTGAAGAGAATCGGAGATGAAACCCCAAAATCTACGGTGTCAAAACTCGATCTCTACCGCACACAATGAAACCCTCAAGGTGATAACCAACTTCGGTGAAGAACTTAGGCCTAAATCCCAATGGATTTGGAGAAATCAAAGAGAGAAGATGACTTCTAGAGAGAGAAGCTCTAGACCTGAAAATTTGGAGAGTTTCAGAGAGAGAAGGGGCTGCAAAAAGTGATCTAAACCCCTAATTTATGGACTGGTATAACAAGGTCACTCGAGCGTGAAATATACTTTCCCGTAAGCAATTTCTAATGCATTTTGCATTTTTGCTTTCGGCGAGCTGACCGGGTCAAAATCGGGATCGCTATACTAAAAGTCTCACTGTTTATATATATGGAAACAAGAAAAATTATTTAATGTGTTAAGGATTTAAATGGTTCTCAATTTTTTTGACCATTTGAAATGCGGTTGGGTATCCGTAGGTATCAGGTATCTGCGGGTATCCATAAGGGTGGGGATGGGGTTGAAAAATTTCACTCGTGGCGCGATTGGGGTGGGTCGGCGGTGGGGGATCACAAACCCGCTCCAATTTATATTAAAAAAAATATAAATTATATGCTACCACATGATCATGATAGGTGATCATGATAGCATCACTCATATATATGCTGTAATTTATATTAAAAAAAAGTGCTACGATATATCCTTAATACCCAAAAATAATTTGCTACCACATGCTCAGATAGGCTCCACCAACTCAGTCCTCCATCTCTTATCCTTCACCTCTAATGCAACCCAAAAAAGCATCTAATAAAACACTAATACGTATCTTGTTTTTTCTTTGAAAAAATCATAAATGTTTTTTTTTTTTAAATAAAAACAAAAGGTGTGCAAATATATTAAAAAAAAAAATATATATATATATATATATATATATTTGATAAATTGTCAAGATGTGGGGTTGTTAGGAGTGGTGCGGAACGGGTTGGGATACTGTGCCCATAGATGGTGGGAAAGGAAGGAGTACAAATTTTTGCCAAAAAAAAAAAGCACATTTTTTATTTTTATTTTTATGTATTTCATTTACAATTTTTAAAAACAAAAATAGATAATTGTAAACATAACAATTACTAAACATATTATAATTAATTTGATTACAACTATGTTAAAACTATGGATGGAGTTACTTATGGGTAGGGGGTTATATTCACATTCACAACCTTCATGTTCTCAAATGACCTATGGCCAATAATTTAGTTCTTGTCCATTATTTAGTTTTGTTAGTTCTTTTTTTTATTTGATAAAAATATTCAATAAAGTCCACAAAAACAGTGTTTGGGAATTAGTTAAAAAAAGTTAAAAAGTCACTAAGATGTTTGTCACCAGCTAAAAAAGTTCAATTTTTTCACTTACAAAAAATAACTTTTTAACTGCTAAAAGGGCCAAAAAACCATTTTAAAAAAAACACAGAAATTTGATAAGGATAGTCAAATTATTCTAGCCTTTGTTAAGGCGTGAGAAAGCATCATACATGGAGAGCATTAACCGCGAAAAATGTTCATTCTTTACTTGACAACTAGGAGAATTTAAGAGTTAATTACAATTTTAGTTTTCAAATTATGGGTCTTGTATTATTTTAATCCTTAATATTTAAATTGTATCAGTTTGGTCTCTAATGTATAAAAGTATTTTAATTTGGTCCCCAATATTTAAATTATGCCATCCTGATCTCCAATGTATAAAAAATATTTCAATTTAGTCTCCCAATTTAATTTTGTTAATAGATACAAAAAATATGGAGAAAATTTAAGTATTATAAATTTAAATTTATGGGAAATTCTCTTGTGTGCATCCCAACCTCCCACAAAAATGTGTAACCTTATCACAAAATTTCGTAACATTAACTATAAAATACGCAACAATGATTCATCCCCCCTTTTCCTCTCACCCCCTTTGACCCCCTCTCTCTCTCATTGCCAATCTGATCTCCAATGTATAAAAAATATTTCAATTTAGTCTCCCAATTTAATTTTGTTAATAGATACAAAAAATATGGAGAAAATTTAAGTATTATAAATTTAAATTTATGGGAAATTCTCTGGTGTGCATCCCAACCTCCCACAAAAATGTATAACTTTATCACAAAATTTCGTAACATCAACTATAAAATACGTAAATTCACCACAAATTGGCTTAACAAAAATGTCATAATCAAGCCACAAACTTTTGCAAAATCAACCATAAATTTTTAACATTTTTGTTACACTAATTTGTGGCAAAGTTACTCATTTTGTGGTTGATGTTACGAAATTTTATGGTAAAATTACACATTTTTATGGTAAGTTGCAAATAATATGCACCCTAAAAGGACTCACACCGGAGCATTTTCCTAAATTTATACATGATGCCAAAAACAAAAAAAAAACCTGCAATTTGAAAAATATTTTTCAGTGTAATGTTTTGCTATTAAACATTCTTTATTTTTTTGGGTGCATATAACTCAATTTCTGTTGAAGTGCAGAAGTCTCAAATCACAGAATCTTCCAGGGACACTCCCAACAGAATTTGTCAAGCTCCCCTTCCTAAAAGTAATGTAAGTAAGGCCTTTTTTGGTTGACACTCATTTGAGAATTTGCCATTTTAATTAGTTTTTTTTTTTTTTTTTTTTTTTTTTTTTTATTATTACGAAAACTATGTGATAATTTGTATTTTTTTGACTTTTTGGCTATTTTCTTCCCTTCCCAAGGAAGTAAAAAGAAAAGCTTTAGCTGATTAGTTTTAATTTGTTTAGCCAACAATTGAGAAGGAAAAAAAATTATAAGATACATCCCAATTTGAAAATTAGATTTTTTATTTTGTCAATTTAAATCTTAATATTTTGATTTATTTTCATTCTAAGCCATTCACCAAATTTTTTTTAAGTAATACCGATGGAAAAATAATATTTTAGTGATTAAACTGAATGTAGATGTACATAAAATGTTAGAAATATATTTTTTGTTGAGTTTAATGACTAAAATGTTATTTTTTTCTGTTGGTTAATAGGCAAATTGTTTAGATTCAAAACAAATACAAATATTAAGATTTAAATTGATAAAATTTAAAAGTCGTGATTTATTTTATTACAGAGTCTAATCGTATTTTTTTTCATATAATAATTTCCCCAAAAGTTAAACTTTTTTTTTTTTTTCAAATTTTTGAATAACAACAAAGCTAACTTTTTTAACATTTATCAAATGTATCAACTTTTTTAACAACAATTTTTACTCTAAAAAAAGTTTTTAAAAAGAAGGAAAGAAATACAATTAAAATGCAACGCAGTTGCCAAACCAACCCTAAATATCTTTATATTAATTTGTATACTATTTTTTAAATAAAAAATATTATAATATATAGTGGATGGAATGAGAAATTTAAGAAATATATTTAGAAATCCCCTAATCGATCCATATGTACAAGTATTTCTCTAGAATATAAGAATAATAATGTATATGCTATTTTTTTATTTTTCACTAGTTAAAGTACAAAAAATATATGCATTTAATGTTCCTAAAATATACAAATTATCATTTTATTTAATTTTTATGAATGATTGGATGATAAAAAAATATGAATAATTGGTGAAAAATCGAAACCCATGGAGCCGTACGTTATTTAGTCCAATAGTTAATCTTTTTTTTGGTGATAAGGACATATTTAATGAAAGGGCAATTCTATTTGCATTCCATGCAAACTCTCAATACATACTATAAATGGAGTTTGAATATAAATTTTTGAACAATAATAAATGTTTGAACATAATTTTATAAATATAAATCAATTGTTCGAAAAAAAGCAACTGATCAATGAAATTTATATTTGAACAATTTATGTTTGTTCATAACTTTAAATTCGAACATTTGATTTTTATTCAGAAGTTTATATTTGAATACCATTTGTGGTATGTATTGAAAGTTTGAATGGTGTACAAATAGAATTTCCCTTAATGAAATTGATTAGTGCGAAAAACAAATTATTTTTTTTGAAGAATTTTTTGTCCAATTATATCTCCACTGTCAAACACCGCCGGACCACCATTGGACCGCAGAAAAATTTTCCAATGCCAGAAAGTGCATTGAAAAAGTCAACAGTAGTGGTTGGTGATAATATGGACAAATAGTGGGATGACACGTAAACATACAGGTGGATAAACAAGTAACGTTGACAAATAGGTGACACATGGACAAATAGTGGGATGACGCGTGGACACATAGGTGGATAAACTTCTAACGTAAACAAATAGATAGATAGGTAGGCAATAAACAGATAGACAAGTAGATAGTGGTAAAATTATTTTTTTAATTATAATTATCTTTTTGACCCTAAAAGAACAAATTTTAAGTATATTAGCCCAAACTTTTTAGAATTAGACTTTAGGGTTTGAATACCCAAAAAAAAAATAAAAATAAATGAAATAGATGTTCAAAATAAAACTCAATGGTGCCATGTTCATAAAATCACTAAATTAAATGGGTAAAAAATAATTGAAATAGATGTTCAAAATAAAACTCAAATGGCGCCATGTTCATAAAATCTGTAAATTAATGGCTAAAAAATAATTGAAATAGATGTTCAAAATAAAACTCAAGATGGTGCCATTCTCATAAAATCTCTAAATTAAATGGGTGTATTTAAAAAGAAAAACCTCTATTTCTTGCCATCATCAGTTTTCATTTTGCCCACTTTTAGTGCTCAGTTTTGCAAATCCATCATTGAATTGAAAACATACTTTAAACTATTTTCTTCCTACAGTGACCTCACTCGTAACTACCTTAACGGTACAATCCCTCCACAATGGGGTTCCCTGCAACAAGTAACGCATATGTATGTCTCTCGCTCTCTTTCTCTCTCTCTCTTTACATATTTATATACACTAGAGGTTTTGCACTCCCAAATGGCTATGCTTGAAATTGCCATGCTTTAAAATTTTCATGTGGGTTGAACATTGAAATTGGTTGTTATAGATTGAATAGGTAGTTTTACAAAAAAATAAAAAATAAATTGTGTTCCAATTCTTAGTTACAAAAGGATAATTTGAGAATAAAATTCTATGACACAAAATGTCAAACACTAACTTAGCCCTTTACATATATAATAGAACAGCTAGTAGCATAGATATACGGACCCATAGATATGATTGAATTTAGCATTTGCAGTGGCAGTTGAAGAATTTTGGGAAAGCAAAAACCGTGACATCCACGCCAATTTCAGTGTTTGATTTATATATATTAGTGGGTGGTACACACGATGCGTGTGTAATTCATATAACTAATAATAAAAATAAATAATAAATAATTTAATATTATAATATGCATGTTGTTCTTATCTAAAAAAAATTAATAATATGTATATTGTTTACGCTGTATATAATAATTATATATATATATATATATATAAAGTTGCCACGTGACATGAGAAAAAAAAAGTTTCACTAAACTAATTGAGGCCTTCACTTAATAATAGTATAGATTAGTTGTCCGCATAAGCGATGTGTGTGCAACTCAACAAAAAACAATATTATAAGAATAATGACAAAGAAGAATACACACATAGTATGTGTTGCTCAAGTGATCAGGATCTTCTTTGTCAAATCCATGCTCTTGGTTTCAAGTCCTACCCTCCACTGAATTTTAATTTTTCCATAAATATCAACTATAGGGGTATTTTGGAAAACTCAAAATATGAGACATTTTATGTCAACACCATCTTAATGCTTCACATATATATAATGGTATAGAGTATAGATAGATAGAAGATTAGTATATATATGCCATCTTCGAGATTTTATTGTTCTTAGTTCCTTATGGCTAATGATGTCACTGCAGTTCCCTCCTTGGAAATCGATTAACGGGTTCAATCCCGAAAGAAATTGGAAACATCAGCACACTTCGGCATATGTAAAATTACTACTACCCTATTCTTTTCTGTATATGCATATGATTTTTGTTTTGTTTTTTTAATCACTTTTTGTCATTAAGGGTTTGAATATTGATGTTTTTAGTACCTTGGAGTTCAATCAGCTATCAGGAACCCTTCCTCCAGAGCTTGGGAATCTTTTTCAGATAAACGACATGTAAGACCTTGTTTTTGTTGAATCATTTATGAGTTCCATGAATAGAAACAATCCCTCCACATATAGGATAAGACTATGTACATTTAACCCTTTCCAGATCCTATAGTGACTAGAGTCCCTTGCATTGGGATACGTTTTTTCATTTACAAAAGTTCCATGTCTTTTGGAATATATAAGAGGAAATATCATTTTCCCCCTCAAACTATCACGCATTTTTCAATTTGACCCTCATACTTCGATTTATTTCAATCTAGTACCTAAACTTTCAACAAATTGATCAATTTAACCCCTGTCGTTATATTTCATCTACAATTGGACGGAATTGCTAATGTGGCACCAAAGTTCATTTGAAATTTCATTTTACCCCCAAACTATACCTTAAAAATCAATTTTCCTTACAAATATAAAAAAAATTAAATTTAAATATTTAATAAATAATTTTTTATCTCAATAATGAAAAAAATAAAATTTCCATAATATATACTTTGCAAAAAAATAAAAAAAAATATATATTTATAAAAATTCTCGTTTTGAATTATTTTGAGACTATGAAATATGGATAATTCGACAAATATGTCGTACCCGTACCGGATACTCATCGACATATGATATTTGTACATACGTATCGGGTACACAAAATATGTACTCAAATTTTTCTTTCTTAATTTTTGGCCTACCCAGACATATCTAATAAATATCCAAGCCGTGTCATACCTCAGTCGAAAATAATATATTTCTTCTACTACAAGGATAAAATTCATTTTACTAAACTTCTTTTTCATTTTTAGTTTTGTGCTTAGCATGGTTTTAAAATTAAGTTATGATTTATAAGTTATTTAATACAATAATATTTAATTTTTTCTTATACCTATGCTTTTGGCATTAAATGTCAATTGTATGTTGGATTTAACATATTAAACCATATAATCAATTTTTGTATTATTTCAAACTAAAAATAAATATTTTTTTACAAACGTATTAAGCCATACATGTACTCGTACCCTACTTTTTTAAGATTTTACCATGTTAATGTACTCATATCGTACCAATACCAGTAATCATACCCATACTTGTGCTTCATAGGTCTCAAATTATCTTGAGTTGATCATAGAGAAACTTATTGAGCCGAAAATTTCTTGATTACTCTGTGTGTGTGTGCACGCAATTGTAACTAGTTTATTATCCAAATTAATTTCAATAGAATTGATTGACTGATAGTAATTTCAAAATTGAGTGGGAATTTTTTTTTCAAAATTCAGTAAGTAACCGATATGGGTACGACATATTTGTCGAAGTATCCATGCTTCATAGTATCAAGATAATTCTAAATGAGGACTTATATATATATATATATATTTTTGCAAAGTATGTATTATTTAAAATTTAATTATTTCATTATTGAGATAAAAAAATATTTATTAAATATTAAATTTAATTTTTTTATATTTGGCGGGCAAATTGATTTTTAAGGTATAGTTTGAGGGGTAAAATGACTCTAAATGAACTTTGGTGCGACGCCAGCACATTCTGTCCAATTGTAGACGGAATGCGACGGTAGGGTTTAAATTGATCAATTTGTTGAAAGTTCAGGTACTAAATTGAAATAAATCGAAGTATAGGGGTCAAATTGAAAAACACACGATAGTTTGGGACAAAATGATATTTCCTCGAATATATTATTATGTGAAAGTTTTGGATAGTCAATCAAAGCAAGACAATTTTGTGCTTGAATCATGTTGCATTCCTAAACATATACAATTTTGGTCAAGTGGAAGGCTTATTTACTAGATCTAAACATGAAACTAATGCCTTGGGAATCATCTTCATATCCACCTTTCTCCAACAACTAAAGCTTTTGGGAAAAATTTACCTTGGCACCAAAGTTTAAGGCCAGTTGATTTATTAGTTGAGTGCATTTTATTGTTGAAGACATTTGACATCAAACTATTTGACTGGGGAGCTTCCGGGAACACTTGCAAAGCTGATCACTTTGACGGAATTGTAAGTTTCTTTTCCTTTTATGGGTGATTTTAAAATTATTAGAATTAGTTACCCTTTTCCATTTTCAGTGAATTATCAATTAATTAGTTTGAATAATGCAGTCGAGTTAGTGGGAACCAATTTATTGGAAAGATACCCAATTTCATCCAAAAATGGACAAATCTCAAGAAATTGTGAGAGCTTGACCTATTTTTTTATACTCAATTGTTGTTTAATTTTATAATATATTTTTTAGCATTTACATTTCAATTTCTGTTGTGTAGAGGGATTCAGGCTAGTGGTTTAGATGGCCCAATTCCTCAGGAGATTGCTTCTTTGACAAAAATGACTGACTTGTCAGTAAAACCTTCTAATTCCATGGCTTTTAACTATTTCACAATAGTGTATGATTGATTTTGTTCTTTTCTTGCAGGAGAATTAGTGATTTAAATGGAATGGAAGCAACTTTTCCACTTCTTAATAGTATGACAAACATGAATAGACTGTAAGTTGAGTTGATTACTTCTGTAGTACTATATTTTGAAGAATATATGAATGTGTTACTTGCTGACTTGAAGTGGCATGTATTTATTTGCGTCACAGGATACTGAGGAGTTGCAATATTACTGGACCCTTACCTAACTATCTTGCAAATTTGACAAAGTTGAAAACCTTGTTAGTAGATTTGTATCTATTTCCCCTTGTCTAGTTGCATTTAAACTGGTAACTCTCTATTTAAAGGTTTTCCCATTGTGATGTGACAAATCAATTTAATCATTAAATATTTCTAAAGTACATCACAAAGTGTTGATAGATGGTGTACATTGCTCCCCATTTGTGGACAATGCTCTTAAAAATTACTAGGTGAAACAATGGAGGTAATTGATGTGCTATGATCATTTGAACATGACTATAAACACTTCTTAGTTGGAAGAGTTAAAATTTAAGTCATTTTGAAATCTTCTTACTTATTACTTCTCTTGCAGAGACCTTAGCTTCAACAAACTCAATGGAGAAATACCAAGCAACTTTGTCAATCTGTCAACCGTAGAATTCATGTATGGATACTAATGTTTTATACATTTTTTAAAGTTTTAGTTGGTACTTTTCACTTGCTGATTGGTACTATTCATGCTAGATCACAAAAAACATAAATTATCCCAATGAGATATTGAATTAGAGAACCAATCAATGGCCCAAAGTAACTGAAACACTCTTCGAAACTAGCAAATTAGATTAATCCAGTGCTAAACCTTCAAAGATAGTTGTCTCAAATAAGATAAATAAAGGCTAAGCTAATGGTCAAAGGAGAGGAATATGTTTTATTAGTTTAAATTCCATAGACCAAAAGTAGGATTCCATTTTACAATGCCAAGCAGGGATTCAAATTTCAATGAGATAATATTTTAGTTTGATGCATGTATCAAGTTTTCTCTTTTGGAAATGCTTGAATTAGTGTCATTGCTATATATTTGTGTAAGATTGTTGGCTGTATGTTTGGAGGGGAAAAGAGGACTAATTTCATGATATTGGTGTTGTTTAGTTTTCTAACTGGAAACTGCCTAAGTGGACCTGTGCCTGATTGGATACTGAAACATGGAATAAACATGTAAGTTATCTTCTAAAACCACATTTTTGTACCAAGTTATCTTCTAAAACCCTAGTTTTATTATGTATGTTAAAATTTTTAATCCTCATTCTTTGTTGCATCGATTTATTTTGGCAAATTCCATGACAAAGCAATTTTATTTTATTTCTTATTTTCTTTGTTTGGTAAGTTCTCATTAATGGCTGGGAGTTTCAAAATCAAGTTGCAAATCTAGACAATTTTGACTTTTGTTGGCTCAAAGATTTTGTGAACAAATTGATTATTAGTTTGTGAACTCAAACAACCTGTCAAAATTTCCTCAAAGATAAATCATGATCCTTCTTGAAATTGCCATGCATGTGTGTTGTAACATTGACAGTTCGTGTTTTTGGTGGCTCGAAGTTGAGTTGGAAATATTGGCATGTCGGTTAAAGATTTTGATTTCCTTTCTTGATTTTCTTGATTGCGAACTTGTGGCAATTTGTAATCGAGCATGTGACGCCAACCTCAAAGGATGTGTGTGATTGATGAAATCTTTTCCACATAAAAAGATGTGTTTGTGTTGGGAGAAGATGGAGACATAGTGTGGCTAAAATTGTGGAACAAATACGGAGATCGTAAGAAACAAAAAGTCTGCAAAAATAGCCTATCCAGTTCACTTTATCACACCCGCGACCAGGACGCGTTCCGGCCACGACCAAATTAGCTTCCAAAGTCTCCACTCTTGGACAGATGAGCTTGGACTATGGTTCCTTTGATAACAGATCATGGTGGTGTCAATGCCAATCTACATCTTGCGAAGGCCGATCGCGCCCGTGACCACCTTGACCGCGCCCACAACCAGTTGGTCTGCGGTCGCGAGGAAGTCCTACCCCAACTTTGCATATAGGGCTCCTTGATTTGAGGGAACAGCTTGCTAAAAGAAAGGGCTCCATGACCGCGGCCGCGACCGTGGTGTCCGCTCCAGCAAAAGTTTTTGTATCTCTTTCCCTCATTTTCTGAGCACTCTCTCCCAAGCTCTTTTGAGTATTTTTATCTTTTGAGAGATCATTTTCATGAGTGAAATACATTTTTGTAGAGAGATTTTGAGAGTGAACTTTATAGTGAGGATTACTTGTAATACTGTCATTCGCTTGATGATTCTTAAGTCCATAGGAGTTTCAAAGCTAATCATCAAGCTGTAACAAGTCCTTCACTCCTTTCAATTGTGAACCTTCTTGGTGGATTCCAATATTGTAGACTTCGGTGGATTCCGAAGTCATTGGTGTCGCGGCGATTCGACAACCGTTGCGGAGATCCAGTGAAGGAAGAAGTGTTACTCGTAGGTTGAGCAATGCGTGTGCCCAGAGTGGCCTTAATAAGATATCTCTTGTACTCTTTTGTTTCATAGTGGATTGTTCGCTTGGCTGAGGGCCTGTGGTTTTTTATCACAAGTTGGTGGATTCCAATTGTGATTTTTCCACGTAAAAAATATTGTGTCGTGGATTAATTTTTCTCTTACTCACTCTCTTTTCTACATTGATCGTGGTTATATAAGTTTTAATTTGGATTATCTAAATCAACAATCACTTATCACGAGACAAATCTAGATTTTCAAAAGGATTTTTAGATAAAACTTAGATTTTTCAATGTAATACTTATTTCTTCTCATCTTGTCATCAAAGAATGAATTACAATTGTACTTTTATAATTCAGCAAAAGAAACATCATTGACCTTACTAGATCATTTCGAAACAAAAGGATTGGATCTAATCCCTTATCCCAATACCCATAGTTATGTCGGGTTGTGTCAACGTGAGTACTTAAGCGAAACTAAAGAGTCCATGTTGTTAGATTTCTGAATGATAATTTGTATATTCAATTGTGTATAATGCAAAGAGTAGACCTAATCTAAAATAGGAAATAAGAATAAACCTATATTCTTACAATAAATCTAAAATATATACATACTAACATAATATTCTTACACATGTAACATAGATCATCATCTAAAATGCATGAACTATAGTTCCTATATAAATCATGGTGTGAATTTTGCATGCAGTGATCTTTCATATAACAACTTTGGCTCTGGGCCTCTAGGTTGTCAACAGAAGACTGTGTAAGATAACTCAAGAATCATTGTAATATTTTAAAAATCTCACGTGTAACCTGTTGAACTCTTCACTTTATTTATTTATTTTTTACAGGAACTTGTTTGCAAGCTCTTCAAACGATAATCTGTCGCAAGTTTCTAAACCTCTGTAAGATTCTTGATCATAATATTTTTGCTTCTTTCATAATCTGTTTGAACATTGCTTTGGTTTCTTTCTTTGTTAAATCGATCAAATTATCATATGATATCATGTTGACTGGTTTATGATCTCACAATGTTTTGCCAGTGGAATTGTGTCTTGCTTGCGAAGCTTTCAATGCCCACAAAGTAAGATAAATATTGTTATTACCTTTACATTTCTATTTTGATGTAATAGCTTTGAACAATTTATACTGTTATGAATTATAAAGAAAAATTGTTAGAGTGTGCATACATACACAAAACATCCACCGGACTTCACATGAATACGGGAAAACAACAAAATCCTAAAAAGTATATGTCGTCCATGGTGAGCACACAAAAATACTATATATAATATGTATTTTTATATCAATATGTAATATGTATTACAAGTACAAAAGCTAACAAATAATATACTACTAAATTTTCAACCGGCGGTGCATATTGTAGAAGATAAAGTTCCCAAATTATCTTATTGATAAAGTTACCAATTTATCTTATTTATATATTTCTCTGGACAATTTAGAATCTTGACATATACAAAAATAATCTCTGTGTCATGCTTAACTTGTGGTGGCCATGTGAACATCATACTCTCTCTCACGCTTTCTCTATTATTTTTGAAGGAAATATTATACACATTAAGGGGTAAGATTCCCATTTCCAATGAATGGTTAGATATTGTTCTAGTTATGATGTGTATATGTAGGTCATGTGTTGCAATCCCTCAGAGTTTCTCCAATGCATCAACCAAATGTCCAAATTAAGAAATCTCTTTATAAATTAAAGCTATATACCTATTTCTTGGAGTATTCGAGAAGTGTAGTTGTCTGGCATAGTGAAGAAAAAAAAAAGATTGTATAAATTAGGAAATGTGTAAACCTATTGGAGATGATTTGAAATGTAAGCTAAACTACAAAAGTTAATTGTTGAAATATTTTCTTTTGTTTTTTCCTTGTTTTTTTGTTTAATTCATGGATACTTGTAATTTAGTCCAGAGATTATTGAACAAAACTTTTTTGAAAGTTAATGTGTCTTGCTTGATCACTGTGTTTTGGATGCCTTGCTATCTGGTAATAATGGCAAAAAAATAAAAAAAAAAGTTTATGAAGTTTGTATCTTCATATCTTAGTTGTTGATATCCATTGCAGTTGAACAAATTTTACTGAAAAACTTGAAATGGTTATTGGTGGTGATGATAGAATTGAATTTCGGCTATCTGCACTCGCCTGCCCAGTCTTTTGTGGACCTACATGAGGTCCTGTGATTAAAATTATGGTGCTTAATGCTTTCATGTGTGTAAAAAACATCTCTGGTGTACATAATTTCTCATTTTTCTTGTCAATTTGAATTATCTCTCTTCTAGAACTTTTGTAGATGAATATATGATTTAGACATTGGAAACAAAAATAAAAAAAATTAGAGTAATGGCAAGCCATTTGAAGCTGAAAATATGATGTCGGAATTTTATTTGGCTTACAATGTATCTACAATGTGCTTCACAATGGGTGCTTTAAGGGAGAGGTCTGACATAGCAATGCATTGATAGTCTTACTAAAATTAAAGTATATCTCAAATTGGATTTGCGACTACTGATGTTGGGGTAGAAGGGGAAAAGGTGTTTGTTAGGCTATTTTTCTATTATTTTTTTATAGGTTAGGTTTTGGACGTAATCTACTCCTTCCAGACCCCATCAATAGGGTAAATTGGATATATTTTTTACTCATCCTAGTGACATAAAAAATGCACAGAACAGAAAACCATCTTGTGTGTGTCTTTTATATGCATTCTTTTTGTGCCCCTAGAGTTTCTATGTTTTTTTTCTTCAACTCATCTACTTTTTAATCTCTTTATTTTTTCTTTTTCCCTATATTTAATGATGGATAATATGGTTATACTTTGTGACAGGTTGGTCTTCATTTTATATAAATTGTGGTGGAAAAGAAACTTTTAATGGAAGTACCAAATATGAAGATGATTTGGATTTAGGTGGGCCTGCAAAGTTCGTCCAACATGGAACTAACTGGGCATTTAGTACCACTGGTCTCTTCTTGGATGACAATAGTGTTGATTCCTTGATTTCGACAAATACGTCAAGGCTCTCTATGAGAAATTCCGAGTTGTATATGGATGCACGACTTTCTCCTACATCTCTGACTTATTATGGGTTTTGTCTGATAAATGGAAACTACACAGTAAAGCTTCACTTTGCAGAGATCATGTTTACTAATGACGAAACATTTAGCAGCCTTGGAAGGCGTATATTTGATATTTACATTCAGGTGATTTTAACACCAATAGAGTTGTTTTAGAAAATAAATTTTATGTGATTTAGAATTTCATTTTTCATCTGTGTGATACTTATCAAATTTTAGGAAGGATTACCAATGCAAAATCATGACCTTCTAAGGAAATTGTTGCAGGGAAAGCTTGAGCGTAAGGATTTCAACATTGAGAAAGCAGCAGGTGGGGTTGGTAAGGAAACCATACAAACATTCACTACAGTTGTGACTAATAGTACATTGGAGATCCGTTTGTATTGGGCAGGTCAAGGGACAACTGGTATGCCTCGTAGAGGAGTATATGGTCCTCTAATTTCAGCCATTTCTGTGTATAACCCTGGTAAGTTGTCCTCCTTTGAACTCCATGTTTCTTGTCTTAATGATTGGGACTCGAGACACAAATTGTATTCACAGTTTTTTGTGTGTTACGCTTTTATTGCTGTTAAGGAAATCAATATAGATGTTGCAAGACCTGTTTCTGTATCTGCTCTCATTTTCTTTTCAAATGTTTGAGACATCAAAAAACTACCTCAATTCACAGTAAAAATTGTCTTCTTTTGGTGATTACTCTCTTCCTTTCATAATGAATTATAAACAAAATTGAACACATTCATAGTTATGTTATTTCTGGAGTTTGTCTCTAGAAATAGTTAGGCTAATCATAATATACCTCCTCTCTTTTTTTCATGGTCTCTTGTGATACTTTGTCAATTGAGCACACTCACTCTTTTTTTTTTTTTTTGGTAACACAAAATTTATTAGAAAGGCTACATGAAAATGATGTCGTGTCGGAACGGGCTTTTCTAATTTATAGAGCAGATAACCTCATTATTATTTTTCATTTATGTCATCTTACACAGAATCATAAAATTTAAATTACGTATTCAATTGGGTAACCCACAATTTCAAGGGTTTTAAGAGATTGCATTAGGCATACAATTCGTTTAGTTTGATGAGCGGTTCTACCTTGTTTTCATGTCCGTTAAAAAAGTAAAAAATACAATGTAGTGTTAAATTGGATGCAAGGCTAAAATGGTTTGGAAGGTCTTTTCTAAAATAATTTCTTCTAGGACTAATAATAATGATGATCAATTCATTTATTTAAAGTGTTACAAATTATCAATTCATTCATTTCTTGTCAATTAATTGGGTTCAAATGTTTTTCTTTTTTCTATCTCCATGCAGATTATTTACGTCAGCTATCAAAAAATAGAAACAACATATCTGTGGGTGTTGTGCTTGGGATCGTGGCTGCAGTAGCTTTTGTTATGATCTTGCTTCTAGGTATTCTTTGGTGGAGATGCTGCCTACCATGCAAAGATACAACGGAACATGGTATTTGGAAACCTCAAAATTGTAGTAAATTCAATTCTTTTACCATCTCCATTTTCACATTTCTAATTTAACAGTTAATTAACAGACATGAATGACGGCTTAATTGAATTGACGTCGACTGCTTATTCTACTTCTACTGGTGATCACTAGCCACTCAATTTGAATTTCGATTATTGGGCAAACAGAGAATAGAGAAATGGGTACAAATTCTCTTGGTTGGTTTTCATTTTAATATTGTCCTTGCAATATAATAGTCTACATTTTCTTACTTTCTTTTTTCTTTTTGGAATCGATTTACAAGAGATGAATGCTTTGTACATCTAGAGAATTTTTCAAATATTTGTCTTGCAAAATGCATATAAAGTATATACTTGCATTTGTAAAACCATATGTTTCAACTATATTGGCAAATCCTATGTTTTATCCAGTTTTGGCCTTTTAGATGTTTTTTGGTCTCCTAATATGTCAAACTGGGATTGAAGATTATTGTAAATAGCAATTCCGATTTAGACCCGACCCATTTGTTATTCTGGACTCGGGTTTCATGATTTCGTATTGTTGCTCAAATCTTATTTCCCTTATACCTCCTTGAGTTTGGCTATTGGGTTATATTAGTTGCGCTTGGAATAGGTTGGTAGCTTGGTTTTCAAACTTTTGTTGCCTAGAATTTTACTACTCCAGTTAAGCATTACTTCTTGCGCTCGAGCGGGCTTTGTGAATTTTCAATACTTTTGCAGGTCAGCAAAACTATTGGGAGAGTGTATTCTACACTTAAGCGATGCTTCTTGCGCTCGAGTGGGCTTAGCTTGAGCATCCTTTCTTACGCTTGAGTATTGGTCTACTGTCTGCAAAACTACTAAGAGTGTGCATTCTGCACTCGAGCGAACTTTCTTGCGGTCAAGCAAAATAACTTATTGTGTCTGGACGCTCGAGTGGACTGTGCGTATATTAATTCATAAAAGTCACTTTTTATATCACTTTTTCATCTCTTTCTCTTTGTAAACATTTTAAAACCCTAAAGTTGAGACCTTCTCTCTCTAGAACTTACTCTTTCTCTATAAATACACCAAGATCTACCCATTTCTCCACCATACTCTCTTTGTTAAAAGGGTAGATCTCACCTAGACCTTTGTTTCATCCGAATAGAGTTGGATTTTGGCTTCTTTGAGGTTTCTCCACTCTCTCCTTGGTCTTCTACTTTCAAGGTAGGAATTTTGTACATTCTTTTATGATTTTTAACTTAGCTATTTGTTTTGCATAAACAATCTTATTGCTTTGGAGGATTTTGAACAAACTTAGTGTTTTGGCTTAAAATCAAAAGTAGGAGTTTTCAAATGGATGTAAGGAAAATGGTTGTGGGAGTGGAAATGAGGTTGAGTTGTGATAAAATTGTTGATTTTGATACTTGGATTGGATTTTGGAAGAAAAATAGGTTTTGCTCTAAATGTTTCAAATATTTATTTTGTATAAATAAATGAAATTACTATTGAAAATGTAAAATTGGATGGACATTGATATGGATGGTGGAGTTCGATATGTATTATCATTCACCATGAAATTTAGAAAGTTTATCTGTATTTGAGATTTTATATCTGTTTAGAAATATTTGTTTTGGGCTATCAGTAGAGGATAGTCATGGTTGTTGTAGAAAATGCATTGTAGATGCGCTCCCAAGAACTCACCGATATCCGCGCTTCTTGCGAAGGCGCGAATCTCGTTTTGTTTTGAGCTACTACAGTTCGGACTTAATGTCACGGTTCTGAATTGGATCTCGCAAAGTGCAATGCAAGACCGATGAATCACCAAAGAGTCCAAATTCGGCAAATCATTTTGGAAAATTGATTTTTAAGAAAGAAGTGCCAAACATGGACGGCTTTTCCAGATACAGAGTCGGCACCTAAATATTTTATTTTTTGGGGAAATTTAGGAAACCCTGACTTGTTGCCTAAGGCCACGTGTCCGTCATCACCAAAGTTGCCTCGGCTCGGGAACTTGGGTACACGATTGGGGAAGGTCATCTATGAGCACCCCCACTCGCCCGATCAAAGATCGGCCTGTACTAAGCATGATATCTTGTTTTTGAAAACACAAGCATTCTTATTCCGATTTTTAGCTAGAATTACTATGTGATGTGCACAACACACAAGTATAGACTGGATCGCCTAATTTGGAACAAAGCATTGCATACTTGTTTATTTTGAAAAACGGTTTGAAGTTTGCTACTCATAAGTAGGCTAAAACAAGGGTTTGATGAATTGTTCCAATTCAGGTAATCCAACCTTCACCCACAGGCATTCAGGCAGTTATATCAACTAAGCAGCTAGCCTCATGGCAATCAACAACACACATGCAGTATGCTAAAGCATAAAAGCTTACCTAGTACTCCGAGCCAAAACAATAGCTAGTTAGAAATCATGCATGATCCTAGCTATGTTAAGATGGCTAATGCAACGCATGCAAAATGCAACAAGAAATAGGCTCGGCTATTCTAAAATGGCGTATAAGATGCGACAATTCGATACATGTATTCAAGTAAGGATTGAAATACAATGCGGTTAGTATGATGCGCCGAGCCCGGTACATGCAATACAGATGAATGGATGCACGCATGCGAAGCATAAGGTATGCTAAACAAAATATGCCCTAAAACTAACCACTGTAAGCGGGTAAGTAAAAGGAAGAAAGACGTGGGGTTGGAAGACATGCACACACTCACGCACACATATTACAAAATTCGTCCTCTCGACGGAGGGTCCGAATAAATAATACAAATCAACTAACTAACTAACTAACAAGCTAATTAATTATTACATAACCGAATGAATAACTAGCTACAACTAATTATTACAACACTTAATTAATTAACAAATTAATTAATTATTACAAAACCAAATGCTAATTAACAAGTAAGCATTAAAATGCGATTGCTAGGCCCCCTCAGCTCTGCCTCGAAGAATTTGGAGATGCATGCTCGGTTCCCGTACCGAAAAGCTCTCCGGTTGCTCTCAAGAGGCTCTGTCTGTAGGGTGTCCTCAAGGAATTCCTGTTGAACCTTACCAAAACTAGTCTGGGGAATACATCAGTGGCCTGCTGGCCATGGGGAGCCACTGCCGACCATCCTGCCGGCCAAGAGTGAGCACTGCCGGCCAAGAATGAGGGACTACTGGCCATCTGCAAGGCACTGCCAGGCACTGATGTGCTGGGACACCAAGCTGCAGCAGAGCACAAAATAGAGAAAATGGAGGGTCTCCCAAGGGTATGTACGCACAATGCCACCCCATATCACCTCGAAACATCAAGGGAGAGGCATAATTAGATCCACGACCATCAATCACGCATCCCAATGCATGATGGCCAAAGATCCAACTTGTGCAAATCAATGAGAAATGAATGCACAAGAAAAACACATAAGTGCCTAGAACTCTATCATGGACTCTATCATGCATCGTCAAGAGCGTCAGCGACCGAGAATTGAGGCACATTTCATCACTTGAAGTATGAAATATCCCTCGTTTCTCTTGCTCGGATTAACACTTAACCCAAGCAACAATGCAATACAAGCATGACATACACAAAGTGACTCAAGCATGCAAACATACAATATGACTTAAACATGCAAACTTGTAATGCGATATGAATCACCTAACAAGGCTAATGGCATGTTCAATGCTAATGCTTACACAATGCAAATGACGGCATACTCAACGCAATGTAACCTAAACATGTAAACAACATGGCATGCAACAAGTATGCAACAATGTACCAAGCATGCAACAACATGTGATGTAACAAGCATGCAACAACATGCAAAATGGATAAGCATGCAACAACATGCAAACATGCAAGAATGCATCAACATGCAAGGTGACTAGCATGCAATAACATGCAAAGATTGACTTAAACCAGAATGGACAGACCTCAGCTATGCCCAAATCAGTGACCATAAGTGTTGGAATGAGGGCACAAAAGCAAGGTATGCATGCACAATGCATTAGCCCAAGAATTAAAGCATAAGGATACAACTCTCAAACATGAGCAAAGAGTGATAATCATAATAATGTGGCAATGAGGTAATCTCTGAAATCATGCAAGGAGTGATGCCAAACCACCCAAACAAGTCAAACATAGCATGCAAGAAAGCTCAAAGTACCAAGCCAACAAAGGGACTTAAACCATGGCAATGCAAGGCAAGCCCTGAAGGACTAAGGGCATCTAAAAAAATCCTAAGGCAGGTCAAGGTGAGACTAAAAACATGCTTGAACCTAGCCAATACGAGCTAGAACAAAGGTCAAAAACAAAGAGCATGCAAGGCTACAAAAGGGGTATTACATTACACCTATTAAAACCAAACATGGCATGACTTGGACAACATAAAACAGAGTTCCATCATGGTATAATAAGACCAAAAATGCACTGATATGAGTTCCATTCATGAGGCATAAAACACAAACTTTTCAAGGCATTTAAAGCATGTCAAATGCAGGTGTATGACCACATTTCGTGGACTGGAGTAACATTCTAAATGATGGCAAAGCATGCAAACATCACATGTATGGCATGATATGGGCCTCAAAACCTAAGGCTAGTCAAAGCATTTACACTATAGCTATACAAAACATGAGTGATATGACCATGGCAGCCCAAAATAGTCCTAGAATAGTCCAAAATAAGAATAAAATCATGCTAGAGCAAAGCCAAAATATGCTAGAATGATGAGTCAAATCAACTTGCACATAAGGCTAGTGAGTAAGATTTGTTCTACAAGTATATGGAGCATGCAAAAGATGACCAAACCCACTTTAGGAAGAGTTATGTCATGGCAAAACATCACCAAAAACATGCTGAAATGGACTCAACATAAGCTAGGCAAACATGCTACTTTGATGAGCCACAAATGGGATTACACTGCACATATAAGAAGCATGCAAAAGATGACCAAACCAGCCATGACAGAGTCAAGGAAGGTCCTAAAAGTCACAAAAAAGGTCCTGAACCAAGCCTCAAAAGTATAGGGATACATGGTCCTTTGATAGGCCAAAAACTCAAGCAAACAAAAACGAAAAGAGAGGGGGTCACCCCCCTCTGGTTAAAGGCCTCAAAACCACATGTCTACCACTAAAAATCCACTGGATTTTAGTGGCTAAAAGGCCAAACCAAGACTACCTCGAAGGCCTTAAGGCATGGCTCAAAACAAGGCCAAACAAGGCATACAAGAGGGTAGAACACCCTTAACACCAAAAAGACCTTAAACAACCACCAAAATCACTTAAATACAGAACTTTTTTCAGTTGAAAACAAGGCCTAAAACAACATGCAAGGATGGCCAAAATGAGATACAAAAAAAATGCTAAAAAAGGAAAAATACTCACACTTGAAGATCAACTTCGAAACCAGCAACCTCAGGGGCCAAAAACCAAGTTTTAGAGCTCAAGTAACACTCCTAAGAACCTCAGCTCAAAGATGGTGGTGTAACACTATGTGTTGTAGTGTAAAAGTGCAAGA